CCCCCCCCCCCCTTATGAAGGGCATTCACCCTTCTTTTGCACTCGACTTCTCTAAGGTGGAGGTGGATGGTAACTCTCAGGTAATGGTGGGTTGGATGAGAGAGGAATGAGATGGTCTTGGGCAACCAGATGGAACATCTCTTTCCACTGGATTAGGAGTAGGGCTGGGTCTGGGCCAGGTCAGGGTAGAGACAGTCCCAAAATGACACAAAAATACACCATTTCCAGCCCAGACGTACAATTTTTTTGGTAGGAAAGCACAGACCCTATAATAGGGTTTGTAAGTAATAGACCAAGAACCAACTCTATTATTAATTGAGCTTATTGGCTCTGACCCAATAAAAAACCAGATTATAACCAATAGGCCTTTAGCATGGTACCTTGACTATAAAGTTGCCAATTCAATTCTCTTGTTGTCTCTGCTCAAAATCTTGCATACCCCTACCCTATTAAATAACAATTTTAAAAATCTTATATGAAATTATTACAAGTAAACCATGAATATATATCAAGTGTTGGGAGGTATCTTTTTCATATGCTAATACACATATAGATATACCCAATCATATATGTATACATTCATGTATCTTTTACATAGACACGCACACACACAGCTACATGTGTGTATATACATATGTATGTATGATCAGTTTGACCTGGACAATCAACAGCCTCAAGTAGGAGATTTGTTAATGATCTAGCCTCAGTTCCCATCTAGAGAAAGGCTTGCTCGAAGTGACTTGTATCTAGGTTCCACATTAGAAGATTAGGTAGCTTTTTCTAGGGATGCAACTTGGGTGCGCTCCGGTTGGGTATTTGTTAAAATTTGAATGGATCCAGACCAAAAGCCTAGGCCTGATGCAGTGTAAATTATTCAAATTTGGTAGCCAACTTGCACCCCTAGCTTTTTTCATTTTCTTTGAGAATATGTTGGGTATGCAGCACAACAGCTTAAAGGTCTTGTGAGACCTTATGGCCTTGGATCTCTCTTTTGTATCTCTTTTTTATCTTTTATAAAAAAGTCATCATTTCCAAAAGTGATAAATGGTAAACAATGTCACAGAACTAGGGCAGAAGATTACCAAAAAGAAAAATCTATAGATATAATGATTAAGATGCATCAAACTCACAAAATACCTCTGCTCGCTTTTTCCTGGTTGCCACATGTAATGCTGTGTTACCAGATCTATCAGGGAGCATCACAATAGCCGCATCTGCTTCAAGAAGCAACTTTACAACTTCACAGTTGGTCCCTTTAACAGCCAAATGCAATGCAGTCTGCCCTTTCTTGTCAGTCCTTCGAGCCAATTGTGGATCCTTGTCAAGTAGTGCCTTTACAATGTCAACATGCCCTTGTCGAGCAGCAAAATGTAATGCATTTTTCCCATTGGAACGGGAAATCTCTAGTAAGCTAGAATCTTTTGATAGCAACTCATTAACTACTGCTGTATGCCCTCTGGTAGCTGCAGTTATAAGAGGCGTTGCATTTGATGGAAGAACTGTTTTGCTTAGCCCTGGGTCATGGTCTAGTAGCACCTGGACAACAGCTGTATAAAAATAGTCACTACAACAGTCATTTACCTGGTTTTGTTTAGATATATCAAGTTCACAAACAGAAAGGTTTTTTGAAAACAGTAAACTATTCAAATGGTCAATGTATTTTGCTTTCCTACAATAGTACAATCAATATTCTAGGATTTGCACAAAATTAGCATCACAAATTGCAGCATTAAGACTGGGATATAAAAGCTTTCTACAATACTGCTAGAACAATTCCTTCTTCGGTTCCCATAAATTTATTATATATAACAGCAAGAACAGACCAAATATATTCACATGTAGAACCATTAACCCCCATAATGGAGAAAGGGAAAATCTCATAGAGCCAAAATCATCACTAGTCTAAACTAATCCTCTCTTCAAGAGTAAAAACCTACCTCAACTCCCAACATCTACTCACAACTCATGAAATGGCTTGAAGCCATACCTTATATGACGACCAGAAATCTTAAAGAAAAAATAGCCAATCCATATCTTGTTACAGCAAGAATAGACTGGATATATTCACAAATGGAACCATTAACCCCCACAATGGAGAAAGGAAAACTCATATAGAGCCAAATTGATCCAAAAAAAAAAAAAAAACTCATATAGAGCCAAAGTAGCCTAAAGTCCTAAGCTAACCAAGTCTTCAAGAATAAAAACCTAGCTCAAAAGAACATCCACTCACAAGTCACAACTCCTGAAATGACTTACAACAATATCTTATAAAAAAGACAAATCCATACTCTCAAAATCCAATTGCACCATCAGAAAATCCATGATGAGTGATCCAGCATCATCAACCAATCATCAAGTATTTAATTTTTTCCTTCAAATATCCTTTATACTTCAATCCTTCAGCAGATGCAAATGATATGGAAATCCAAGATGCTTTTACCCTTTTTTGCCAATAGAAAACCAAGTCCATAATTAAATAAAAGAACCTCTTTTGGATGATAATATCTGTACTTAGGAAGGCAGATTAGCACAAATAAGTAGGTCCAAATTTATGCAAAATGCATACTTATACTCATCATATTTTTTTAAGTTTTAGGAAAGCAAAGAATGCTTTCTGCATAGGTACAGGGATCTTTTACGTAATGACCATATTAAGGCCATTACTAAATGTTTTTATCAGAAACAAACATAATTCTATTAGTTTATAGGATAAAAATAAGGTATAAACATGGGATTGTACCAAGAACCTCTTTTGGTAGACTAGCAGCCACTACCTACTCCCTTCTTTTTTTATTTCTTTATTATTGCAGTGCAAAGAACTATCTCCCAATCTCCCATGCATCTATTTCTATTAACCTCTTGCCATGCTAATGCACCAGCCATACTGTTGGCTGATCATTTTACTAGCTCCTCAGCCATACTGTTGGCAACCCGGGAAGAACTGGAATTGGTGTATTTAGAGATGACAAGGGGATTGTAGTGGGGCTGTTCTCAGGCCCTATTGGCATGGGTTATTCCACTACAGCTGAACTAAAGGCAGTGGTATTTGGGATCCAAAAAGCTAAGGAGCTGGGGGTGCAAAAGCTTGTTGTGGAAGGCGACTCCAAAGTAGTGATAAGCTGGCTAAAGCAAACTGAAAAGATACCCTGGCTGCATAGAAATGATATCAAGAAGATTAAAAGCATTTCCAAGGACTTGCAGCTATCATTTCAGTGGACTCCAAGAGCGGCAAATGGATTTGTAGACAGCTAGCAAAACAAGGGGTAAAAAGGGATCAGTGTTTTTGGGCTCAGTTGTAAGGATGAGAAATCAAAAAGTCATAGGTGGCAACTTAAGTTTTAGTGGGGTGGCCGAGGTTACTCATAATCTATAATTTATAATTTCTTATCTTAATGAACTTCTCTTTTACTGATAAAAAAATGTATCCTAGCACCTAAGGCTGTGTTTGTATGCAATGTAAAAACCTCATTGATGTAAAAGTCCATTGGAGTCACCGAACAGTTTAAAAATTTCTGAACCACTGAGCTTCAAAAATTGTGATTAATCGATGTAATACTACATCGATAAAACCGATGTAGTATTTACATTGATAATCGATGTAAAACTCCACTCCATCCAAACACTGACAAAACCAACCGGCAGTGAACTTTTACATCGATGAGGTTTTACACCGCAAACAGATGGAGCCTAAAGTGTTGTCCTTCAGCCATACCACTATAACCTTTGAATCCCCTTCCACCATTAATTTTCTGAAGTTTTGGGATTTTTTATTTTTCCATCCTCAATCCCTGTAAGGACCATTACCCAATGTTGGTCCCATCTATCTGGGATCTCAGCCTATGTTACCATACCAGATATAACAAGGGCATGGATGGATATGGTATTTTTTTATCAGTAAATATGTATTTCATGGATGGATATGGTATCAGATACCAAATTTACACTAAACATGATATGGCATCCTTGCACGGATATCACAGATCTCAGGAGAGTGGATTGGATATGGAACCCAACCTTTGGCATTTTTACATAAGTGGCTTCTCTCAGACTTGAGCCCATGTTCTCATGCTTGACAGCTTGAGATTTTACCATGGAACCAAGCAACGGTCATTTCCCTCTGCATCATTACAGATATTTTAAATAATCTAATATACTTTTTGCATTGATACTAATCTCAACTGAACTCGACCTTAATGACAACCATTTGGAGTTGGCTATTTTGCACTACTACTACTGTGCAATCAATTGTGTCTCTAGGAGATTTGTAGAGGCCGGAACCTCAAAAATATATTTTTTTTTCAAGTCTTCCTTTTCCTCTGGTAAAATATCTAATTTACTAATTTGTTTTCTTGCAAAAATAAACTAGAAGGTGCTACCAAAAACAGATGAAGTAGAATCTGTCATCAATGTCGAATAAGTAATAAAAATCCCTATACGGTGGGGGTCAGATTTCTGAGGTGGACTGAACTATAAAAACCCCTAAAATGAATACCCTGACATATAAATGTAATCATAATGCGCGAAAAGAAAGTTGAACACAATTACTTTTCAATCGATCGTTTGATTGAGAGAGAGAGATGGAAATAAATCAATATCTCAGTTACTCAGTAGTCATCAGTCAGTAGACTCAGTACCACTAAATCCCTTCTCATTACTCTAATTTCTTAGGGCCTTTTTTATGTTTATGATACTCGCCTCCTCATAAACAGACATAGAGCTAAAAGAAATATAAATCCCACTAACTAAACGAAGAGAAGAAAAATAAAGGCAGCGGATAAAAAAATCCCACCTTGATGACCGTTACTAACAGCTATATGCAACGCATCGAAGCCAGAGTTATTTTTCCTCGAAGTACTTTCCTTGGTTGAATACTTCAATAGCTCCTTCACCACATCGAGGTGTCCCTTCTCGGCTGCGGTAAACAGGGCATTTTCTCCTAATTCGTTCACCTCGTTCACAACCGCCGACCTTATTTCCGCCACCTCAGCATCAAAATCTGCTCCACTAAGCGTACCGACCATCTGCGCATCGATGTCATTGAGAATCTGTTTCACCGCTACCAGATCGCCGCGCTGCGCAGCCAAATGCAGGTCGGTGTCATTGTGACGACCGGTCACCTGCTTCACGTACTTCTTCTTCCCCGCTTGATCGATCCTCTTACCGGAATTGGAAAGAACGAGAGCAGGCGCCGGCGCCGTCGACGTCGACGTAGGGGATGGCGAATGCAAAGGCTCGGCTAAAGGATTCGGGTTCAGCCCTTGTCCTTTCTCCAAGTCCCTCTCACCTACTGGATAATAAACCATGAAGAATAGACATGATCAGATGCATCGATGCAAAATTCCAGGATAAAGCCAGTGATTAATATTGGTATATTTGGTGCCAATCGATGTTTTGATCGATCCCGAAAAAAAGGAAAAAAAAAAAAAAACTACATCTTGTGCTCTAGGCGAAGGGAAGAAGCTAGAGACAAGCGTACCTTCTTCGATCACAGACCCCATCTTGTGCTCCTCGAACCAAAGCCTACAATTTCATCAGCAGAGGTCCAATTTCTAGGGTTTTTGTGGAATGAAGTGAAAGGAGAAGTGACGATGAAGATGATGATGGTAAGGAAAGAGAGAGGGAGGCGAGAGGAAGGAACAGACGAATAAAATCAAAAAGATGCCTTGTTTTGTTGCTATTATTATTGCTTTTGTTTTGTTTTTCACTCATTCTTGTTTTTCTATTTTACCCGCGCGAAGTGCAAGAGTGAAGAGCCAAGAGCCGCCCCTAAAAATCTAAAATTCCACCACTACCTAGTTGAAAGTTGTGCTCTTTTCTTTTATGGGTTCTGCGACCTCACTGCTGACTCTGCTTGCTTTTCCGCCTTGCCTTTCTTTAAGGTAAGAAGGTCATTGTCGTCGCTTGCTTTGTCACTGGTCACTGGTCACTGGTCACTTTGTATGAAAAACGGTGCCCTACATGGCCTGGCCGCTGCAGTTAAATAACTTTAAGGAAAATTCCATTACCTTTAATTTTGGGGTAATGTCAAGTTAGTACTCCAACTTAACTGTACACTATTTAAAATATCAAAACTATCCTTCAAGATAATACACTTTTAATCGTCTTCTACCTTGAAGCTGAACCCGTTGAGGTGTTTGAGATTTTAGATTAACAAGTCATTGTCTTCTACTTTTAAATCTAAAACACATTCTTGTCTAGTTATTTCTTTGCTTTTAGTTATTGTTTCCTTTATCATATTTCATTTTTTCTCTTTGTTTCCCTCTCAAGGTAAAAGACAACAAACAATGTCGTCTTTTAAAGGGTAGTTTTGATATTTTCAATAAATAATTGAGGGTTGGTTAAAAGTAGAGACCAATTTGACACTTTTTGAAAGTTCAAGTATTACAGTGACACACTTTAAAGTTCGGATACTAACTCGACACTACCCCCAAAGTTTAGAGTACTAAAGTGAAATTTTCCCATAACTTTAACAAAAGTTATCCAACCCAACCCAATTCTCAATGCTCATTAGGATGAGGGTAGGCCCTGCTCAAACCGGCGGGCTTTACTGAATTCACATCATGCCCCACAGTATATCCCGACTATGTATTGGGAACATCTCCCACTAACAACTTTGAGAGATGTTTTCAATGCACACTTAGATGTGCATGTGGCCATGTGGGGCGTTTGTGAGGCACATTACATGGGGTACAAATGTGATATCAGCTTTACTGCCATTTTTTTATAGAATTCATATTCAATGCCCCACAATGCCACATAACACATCCCAACCTTGAATTGGAAACATCTCCCCATGAAGTCTCATTATCTCTCATGCTATCATCTAGAGATGTTCTCAATATAAGATAGGGATGTTGATACGCTCAAGTTATCTAACAAGAGGGAGAAGGATCTAGAATAAGGAGAAGAGAGAGAGAGAGTTTGTTTGTAGAAAAGCCAATGCCAACTCCATTCATTCAGGCTATATTTATCTAGGAACAGAATTGAAGACTTATCTATTCTAACAGAATTAAAACTGAATGGCTAAGGCTTATCCCAACTAAGAGTTAACATGACCGGGTCTTCTGCTGCTATCCACTTTGACCGGGTCTTCGGCTGCTGTGCGCCTAGTGCATGCATGCACATGCACGTATCATTTCCTCCCCCCCTGAAGGATCCTTGTCCGCAAGGAAGTCGAGATAAGATTTTCTGAAGCGCCATTCATTCTCCCAGGTTGCATCCTCAGCTGACGCCCCAATCCATTTGACCAACACTTCGAATTTTGGGCGGTATTTGCCCTTGTGAATAATACGATGATCCAGGATTGCTTCCGATTGGGGTAGGATGGTCGAAATATCCAAGATTGGAGGAAGCTGAGTGGAAGTAGGGGTGATGGGTCCCAAGTGCTTCCGCAACGAACTGACATGAAACACATTGTGGATTTGAGAGTCGGGGGGCAAGGCTAAGCGGTAGGCTACTGGACCAATCTTCTCAATGATTGGGTATGGCCCAAAATAACGTGGGGGCGAGCTTCATGGAACGCCGAAACGCCACCGATGTCTGCCGGCAAGGCTGTAGCTTCACATACATGAAGTCACCTGCTACGAACGAGACTTCTCGTCGGTGCTGGTCC